CACAACCTGGACCACAGCCTGGACCACAGCCTGGTTTAGTCCTGGTTTAGTCCTGGTTTAGTTCTAGTTTGTTGTTTCTTTAGTTCATTTGATGATGTTTGTTTTTGTGTTTTTGTGTTTTCAGTCTCGAAAAGCCAGTGACCCCGACAAAGACAAGAAGAGTGTGGAGAGCAGAGCGGACAGTATCGGGAGCGGGAGAGCCATCCCCATCAAACAGGTACACACACACACACACACACACACTATACACACACACACACACACTATACACACACACACACACAGGTACAGGGGGCGCTGTCACACACTTACACATCCCCCCACACCACAATCCTCCATAAAAACACAAACACATGAACACAGCAACTGGACAAACCTGAGCGATGTGCAGGAGTTTCATTACTGCGACACTCTGAAGGGGGAGCGACTCAGCACAGAGAGCAATGAGAGACTTAGTGACACGGAGCTGTGAATATGTGACGTGTTACAGTGAAAACCCCAGAACAGTAAATACCTCCTCTGTGAATGTTTTATAAAACCACTCAGAAAAAGAAAAAAGAAAAGACTTTCAAATTTCTGAGCAGATTTTTGTTATTCTCCTTCGTCACTCGCTGCATGATGACGTCGGGAAAATGAGTGTCCAGTAGGAGCTTTGTTTTGCACTCCGTCCATCGTGATTGGTCCAAACTTTGCCAAAGAGTGAAGTGAGTCAAAACAGTCGATGTTCTGAGCGTCTGTGAAAGTCGCTCTTCTCACATAAATAGACAAATGACACGTCTTGGTCCTTTGTTAGTTTTATGTTCAGGTTTATTTGAGTCCAAATGTTCAAATCCAGATGTGATAAACTCATGTAAATACAGAAGTGATGTGTCTCTGTGACCTGGACCTGACTCCAGCTGTTCCCACGACCTGCACCAGTCAAGTCATGAGGACATGGATCTTTTTGTTTAGTTTTGATTCAATAAGGAGATTTTGAGTTTATTTACACACTTGATTTTTTGCACTTTTGCAGCTAAGGCCCCAAATGAAGCATTTTTATGTCCTAAAAGTAGTTTGCTGTATTTCTTGGATCATCAGGAGCGTTAAGAGAAACAATCAGACACTTGAGTCTGATGTTTAGTCCAGATGTTTATGATCCATCAGCAGATCGTGGTGGAACTCGCCCGGCGTCGTCTCCGTGTGTTTTATTTATGTGAACGTGTGAGGATCATTTCAGTTTTTATTTCCTACGAGGACGATTCAAATAAACACTGAGTAATAAAAGGTTTAATTCAACTTTGACACTTTTGTTTAAGTTTTACAGAAACTAAACGTTAAACCACACGACTCATTTCCATAAACTAATGTGTGTGATAAATGTGTGTGTTGTTTCTTGTGTGTGATGTGGTTCAGTTTGTGTTGGACTAAAGGACACAGTGAAGAGTCGCTCTAACGCTCTGATAATCCATCACACGGCGCGGCTTCGTAGTTTTACCAAAGTCGTACTAAAACATTTTGACAGATTTTTGAGCCGTGCACCTCAGAAAATCAGTTCGAGGTCAGAAACAAAACCAGAATTACTGTATTTTCCGCTCTGTTAGTCGCTCTGGATTATAAGACGCTCTGTCATTAAATGGTTTATTCTTGAACTTTTTTCCCAAATAAACGGCGTGGGACTTTAAAGTAAACCCAACAGTGTGATGTGTGAGTGGTTTTGTTTGTTCGTTCACGGTGACTCTGGGTGTGTTCAGTTGTGGCGTGTAGGGAGTAGTGTCTGTCGCTGGATTGTCGGTGTGTTCAGTGACTCAGTTGTTCAGTCGTGTCTAGAAGCGGCACGTCGCACTCGTGGCTTTTTCGGTTCGTTCCTCCGTTCCGTTCCTCACATTTTTAGCTCTTTTTATTGTTTTATAAACGCTATAATCACCCGCAACAACAGATGAACATGTTTTATAAGTTTCGGTTTTGCTGCTAAGTCGCTCCCCCTTCAGAGCGCCATCACAACACAATCACCGTGCTTCCCCTCTAACGAAACTACTGCGGTTTTCTGTCACGTTTTTGTATTATTCACTGAGAATTTTCGTGTTTACCGTCGTATTTATGGAGAAATCTCATACAGAGAGATCGCTAGATTACTCAAACACACGTGGATGTCTCTAAAACCTCTTCAGACATGTTTTTTTTAGATGATGGAATTTTAAAACATGAGAGAAAGCTCCAAAAATACCCCGTCTTTAAGCACAGTTCTCCGTTCATCTCAACAGAAATTCTAATCTCGGTAAACAGAATTTCAGTTTTGTCCGTCGTTATCGGTCATTGTTTACATTTTAAATCTTTGGTGTAGGGAGTAGTGTCTGTCGCTGGATTGTCGGTGTGTTCAGTGACTCAGTTGTTCAGTCGTGTCTAGGAGTGACACTTTGCGCTTGTCGCTTTTTCGGTTCGTTCCTCTGTTCCGTTCCTCGTCGGCGTGGAGTGTGTGTGTGTGTTTGTGTGTGTGTGTGTGTGTGTGTCTGTGTGTGTTTGTGTGTGTGTGTGTGTTCTGTGTGTGTCTGTGTGTGTGTTTGTGTGTTTGTAGTTTACTGAAGTTGTGCTGGGACCTGAGTGGATTCGTGTATGGGGAGCTCTGGATTGTGGTGCGTGGTGGTTTTTTGAGGCGGTTCGAGGCTCTTGTAGTTTTTATTCCATCCACACGACACGACTCCAGCAGCAGATTCAAAATAACAGACTGGAGTGTGAAACCTGATGTGTAACTCTTGATTAGAGGTAAAAGAGGCACATTTAAACACGAAAATAAAGACACAAAGTCTGAAAAGGTGAAATGAACTAAAACTGTCCTGAAGGGTTTTATTTTATATATATTTTATTTAATTTTAGATTTTTTTTTTTTTAATATTGTGGTCTTACGGCCACACAAAAATGCCACAAAATATACAAGTGTACAAATGCCACATTTAAACCCCCTCCTCCCCACCCCCACCCTTAACAGACGCTGAAAAGAAAAAGGAAAAAATAAATAAATAAATAATAATAATGATAATAATATTGACCAGAAAATAATAATAAAAATAAAATAACATAATTACATTAATATATACAAATGACATACATTTACATACATACACATAAACGCACACACACTCAAACACTCACCCATAACAAATACATTCAAAAATATATAAAATAAATTAAGAAAAAAATAAAAAATAAAATAAAATAAAATAATAATAATAATTAAAAAATATATATATAAATAATAATAATAATAATAAAAATAATACAAAATAAAAAATGTATAAATTACATATTTAAATATATGTGTACAGGTGTCCATATTTTCCAGAACATATCTTGTTTGCCATTTCGTTCATAAGTCAATTTTTCCAAGGGAATGGTTGATGATAACTGAGTGAACCATAAGTCCAGTGGAGGTAAATGCAGGGTTGCCCACTTTAAAAGAACACATTTTCTTGCCAAAGACATCATAATCATTAACATAGACTGAGTAACATTATCAAAAAGTTTGTCAGGACAAAGATTTAACAAATACAATGATGGTGACATAACAAAAGTTTTTCCCGTAAACTGTTGGGTAACAGCGTGTACATGTCTCCAAAATTGTTGAATATATTCACATTCCCAGAATAAATGTACTAAAGTGCCTTTATATTTTTGACATTTATAACAAAGATCAGAGCTGTCAGGGAACATTTTCTGAAGACGCACTGGGGTATAATAAAATCTATGAAATAATTTATAATTTTGTTCATGTATTGATATAGGTTTACATTTAGGAAATATTTTTTTGCAAATTTCAGACCATTCTTCTTCATTATAGGTTATACGCAGATCATATTCCCACAACGGCTTCAGAAAGTCATATGCACTGGTGTTATGTTTGAAAGAATTGTATAATACTGAGATATTTCCTTTTAGTCCTGAAGGGTTTTAACTGCCCCTCTGTAAAACCCCCCGCACTAAATGCCCCGTGTGAGTGTTTGTGTGTGAAGTTGTGCGTCTGTTGTGCGTCGTGTGTTCAGACGGCATGGAGCTGCGTCGCCAGCAGGGGGCGCTGTGCTCTGCTCGTTACAGGTCCTCACAGAGCCAGCAGGGGGCGCTGTGCTCTGCTCGTTACAGGTCCTCACAGAGCCAGCAGGGGGCGCTGTGCTCTGCTCGTTACAGGTCCTCACAGAGCCAGCAGGGGGCGCTGTGCTCTGCTCGTTACAGGTCCTCACAGAGCCAGCAGGAGGCGCTGTGACGCTCTCCTCCGCCTCAGATCTGCTCTGCTCATTAAAATCCTGCAGGGAGGACGGGCACGCCCCCACTCGCCCCCACGCGGATCTGACGCGGCTCTCGGGGGCCTCTGAGGCTCCTCGTTTCCTGATGAGGGTTTGAGGAGCGCCGCCGATCCTAACGAGCTCGCCGTTTGACCCGATCTGAGCCGGCGCGCGTTGCCATGGAGATCACACCGGAGATTTACCACAATTATGGAACAGACACACAGAGGAAGATCACAGACTTTAAACCGTCCCCACGCCCGCGGTCTAGACCTGGTCCAGTCCTGGTCCAGTCCTGGTCCAGTCCTGGTCCAGTCCTGGTCTAGTCCTGGTCTAGTCCTGGTCTAGTCCTGGTCTAGTCCTGGTCTAGTCCTGGTCTAGTCCTGGTCTAGTCCTGGTCTAGTCCTGGTTTAGTCCTGGTTTAGTCCTGGTCTAGTCCTGGTCTAGTCCTGGTTTAGTCCTGGTTTAGTCCTGGTCTAGTCCTGGTTTAGTCCTGGTTTAGTCCTAGTCTAGTCCTGGTCTTTTATCAGATTCTTAATAAAATAAAACCATAAAGTGTTTGTTAAATCTTTGAAGTGTTTGAGAAAATCTTTAAACGTGTGTAAATAAAGTCAGTGTTTTGTCTAAATGACTGAACCACGTTTGGACCTGAGGGTTTGAGGTTAGAATCCGGGTTGAACCAGGTCCCCACGAGTCCATTTCCTCTTAATTAGAGCCTCGTTAGTGTTTATTTTCATATGAAGTCTCATTAAGTGGATTAGAGTCTGTGTCTGTGAACCTGAGTGTGATGTGAGCTGACGGCACCGCAAGACCACACATGACTCACCGCAACGAGACCAGACCAGGACCAGGACCAGACCCAGACCAGGACCAGACCAGGACTAAAACAAGACCACACATGACTCACCGCAACGAGACCAGACCAGGACCAGGACCAGGACCAGGACCAGGACCAGGACCAGGACCAGACCAGGACTAAAACAAGACCACACATGACTCACCGCAACGAGACCAGACCCAGACCAGGACCAGGACCAGGACCAGGACCAGGACCAGGACCAGGACTAAACCAAGACCACACATGACTCACCGCAACGAGACCAGACCAGGACCAGGACCAGACCAGGACCAGGACCAAACCAGGACTAAAACAAGACCACACATGACTCACCGCAACGAGACCAGACCAGGACCAGGACCAGACCAGGACCAGGACTAAACCAGGACTAAAACAAGACCACACATGACTCACCGCAACGAGACCAGACCCAGACCAGGACCAGGACCAGACCAGGACCAGACCAGGACTAAACAAACAAGACCACACATGACTCACCGCAAGCGAGACCAGACCCAGACCAGGACCAGGACCAGGACCAGACCAGGACTAAACCAGGACTAAAACAAGACCACACATGACTCACCGCAGCGAGACCAGACCAGACCAGACCAGGACCAGACCAGGACCAGACCAGGACCAGGACCAGACCAGGACCAGACCAGGACTAAACCAGGACTAAAACAAGACCACACATGACTCACCGCAACGAGACCAGACCCAGACCAGGACCAGGACCAGACCAGGACTAAACCAGGACTAAAACAAGACCACACATGACTCACCGCAGCGCCGAGACCAGACCCAGACCAGGACCAGACCAGGACTAAACCAGGACTAAAACAAGACCACACATGACTCACCGCAGCGCCGAGACCAGACCCAGACCAGGACCAGGACCGAGACTAAACCAGAACTAAACCAAGACTACACATGACTCACTGCAGCGCCGGGACCGAGACCAGGACCAGGACTAAACCAGGACTAAACCTGGACTAAACCAGGACGAGAGCAAGACTGATAAGAACTAAACCAGGACTAAAGGGGGACTGCATGAGAACTAAACCGGTCCTGGACCAGGTTCTTGTTGGTGCAGTTTTGTCATAATTATTAAAGTCACTTGATGTTTTATGTCGTTACATTTCAAACTTAAACAGAATCAAGACCAGACCCAGACCCAGATCCAGACCCAGATCCAGACCCAGATCCAGATCCTGGGTCTGTGGTCCAGGTTTATACATTGACTCTTTTACCGTCCGTCATAAACACAAACAAACTCTTTTATCAATGGACAAAAACATCTGATCCTGTTTGGAAACACTCCCCATTTTCATTCAGACACTTTTCCTTTAGTCCTGGTTTAGTCCTGGTTTAGTCTCAGTTTAGTCCTGTTTTAGTCTCAGTTTAGTCCTGGTTTAAACCCGGTCTCGACCCTGTTTAATGTTTTTCTGGTCTTTTATTTGACTTCTTTTATTTCCTTTATTTGTGACCTCACATCAACTTCAGTCCTGGTCCAGTCCCTGTTCTAGACCAGGTTTAGTCCTGCTTTAGTCCTGGTTTAGACTTGGTTCTGGTCCAGTTGTGGTCCAGTTCTAGTCCTGGTTTAGTCCTGGTCCAGTCGTCCTCTCTGTGCCTGATCGTGCCCCGGGTGCGTCGGCGTCGGTCATTACGCTCGTTTACGCTCGTTTCGTTTACGCTCGTTTAGACTCGTTTGTGGCTCGTTTGTGGCTCGTTTGTCTCTCGTCTTCATCGTCCTCGTCGTCTTCGTCGTCTTGTTCGTTTTCGTCAACTCGCCGTCTCTCGTGTTTATTATCTGTGAGTGACTCTACTGAGCGCGCTCCGTAGGTCAGCGGCCCCGCCCCCGGGTCACATGACTCCTCTCCTCGTTAGCGCGTTGGCTCGTTAGTGCTGAGTGTCTGTGTGATGGAGCAGAGTGTTTCCCGCCTCCTGAACACGCTCGTTAGCAGACGCTCTTAACGAGGTCCTTAACGAGGGCGGAGTCCGGACTAAACCAGGGCCTAATGAAGTCCGGACCAAACCTGGACCGCAGACCCCAGAGAGACCAAAGAGGAGACTTGGGACTGAGTTCTGAGAGCAGACCGGGTCCAGGCCGGGTCCAGACCGGGTCCAGGCCGGGTCCAGACCGGGTCCAGACCGGGTTTTCTGGGGTTTTCTCATTAAGACCAATTAAAAAGAACAGAGGTGATTTAGAGGCACTTAAAACATGAGCCGTTTATTTACCCCACGAATAAATCTGCATCTCATTATCCAGACCTGAGAAGACCAGGTTTAGACCAGGTTTAGACCAGGTTTAGACCAGGTTTAGACCAGGTTTAGACCGGGTTTAGACCAGGTTTAGACCAGGTTTAGTCAAGAGTCAGACCTTCTTTTAGTTCTGTTTTAGACCTAGATTTAGACCTTCTTTAGTCCTGGTTTTGTCCCAGTTTTAGTCCCGTTTTACTCCTGGTTTAGACCTGGTTCAGACCTGGTTTAGACCTGGTTCAGACCTGGTTTAGACCTGGTTCAGACCGGGTTTAGACCTGGTTTTGCTCTGGTCACTTTAGGGGAACAGTTAATGAAATAAAATGGAGGAAAGTCATAATTTTCAGCTCATTAGATTTGATTCATTTAAAACCAGAATTAATTAGATCTGATCCATAAATCAGAGAAGCTCCAACGCATCCATCTGAGACCAGGACCAGACCAGGACCAGACCAGGACCAGACCAGGACCAGGACCAGACCAGGACCAGACCAGGACCACCGCATCCATCGGGGACCAGGACCAGACCAGGACCAACGCATCCATCTGAGACCAGGACCAGACCAGGACCAGACCAGGACCAGACCGAGACAAGACCAGGACCAGACCAGGACCAGACCAGGACCAACGCATCCATCTGAGACCAGGACCAGACCAGGACTAAACCGGGACTATAACAAGACTATAACAGGACTAAAGAGGGACTACACCAGGACTGAACCAGGACTTCTGGCGGGACTAAAGTGGGACTAGACCAGGACTAGAGAATTGATCTACACCAGGTCTTATTCAGAACTTGAACTTGTTTCTCAGGACTTTTTGAGCACTGATTCAGATCTAAACCAGGACTATCCGAGGCCTGGTCCAGGTCTGCGGTCCAGGTCTTAAGGTCTGCGATCTCCAGGTCTCAGGTCTCAGGTCTGTGGTCTTGGTTCTTTGGTCTCAGGTCTCAGGTCTGTGGTCTCAGGTGTGTGGTCTGTGGTCTCAGGTCTGTGGTCTTCAGTCTGTGGTCTTCGGTCTGTGGTCTGTGGTCTCAGGTCTGTGGTCTTCGGTCTGTGGTCTGTGGTCTTCGGTCTGTGGTCTCAGGTCTGTGGTCTTCGGTCTGTGGTCTCAGGTCTGTGGTCTGGTCTGTGGTCTGTGGTCTCAGGTCTGTGGTTTGTGGTCTGTGGTCTCAGGTGTGGGTCTCAGGTCTGTGGTCTGTGGTCTGTGGTCTCAGGTCTGTGGTCTGTGGTCTGTGGTCTCAGGTCTGTGGTCTGTGGTCTCAGGTCTGTGGTCTGTGGTCTGTGTCTGTGTGTCTCAGGTCTGTGGTCTGTGGTCTGTGGTCTGTGGTCTGTGGTCTGTGGTCTCAGGTCTGTGTCTCAGGTCTGTGGTCTGTGGTCTCAGTGGTCTCAGGTCTGTGGTCTGTGGTCTCAGGTCTGTGGTCTGTGGTCTGTGGTCTGTGGTCTCAGGTCTGTGGTCTCAGGTCTGTGGTCTGGTCTGGTCTCTCAGGTCTGTGGTCTCAGGTCTGTGGTCTCAGGTCTGTGGTCTGTGGTCTCAGGTCTGTGGTCTCAGGTCTGTGGTCTCAGGTCTGTGGTCTGTGGTCTGTGGTCTTGTGGTCTCAGGTCTGTGGTCTGTGGTCTGTGGTCTGTGGTCTGTGGTCTGTGGGTCTCAGGTCTGTGGTCTGTGTCTCAGGTCTGTGGTCTCAGGTCTGTGGTCTGTGGTCTTCTGGTCTCAGGTCTGTGGTCTGTGGTCTGTGGTCTGTGGTCTGTCAGGTCTGTGGTCTCAGGTCTGTGTCTGTCTGTCTCAGGTCTGTGGTCTGTGGTCTGTGGTCTCAGGTCTGTGGTCTGTGGTCTCAGGTCTGTGGTCTGTGGTCTGGTCTCAGGTCTGTGGTCTCAGGTCTGTGGTCTGTGGTCTGTGGTCTCAGGTCTGTGGTCTGTGGTCTGTGGTCTGTGGTCTGTGGTCTCAGGTCTGTGGTCTGTGGTCTCAGGTCTGTGGTCTCAGGTCTGTGGTCTGTGGTCTCAGGTCTGTGGTCTCAGGTCTGTGGTCTGTGGTCTCAGGTCTGTGGTCTCAGGTCTGTGGTCTGTGGTCTGTGGTCTGGTCTGTGGTCTCAGGTCTGTGGTCTGTGGTCTGTGGGTCTGTGGTCTGTGGTCTCTGTGGTCTGTGGTCTGTGGTCTGTGGTCTGTGGTCTCAGGTCTGTGGTCTGTGGTCTCAGGTCTGTGGTCTGTGGTCTGTGGTCTCAGGTCTGTGGTCTGTGGTCTCAGGTCTGTGGTCAGGTCTGTGGTCTCAGGTCTGTGGTCTCAGGTCTGTGGTCTGTGGTCTGTGGTCTCAGGTCTGTGGTCTGTGGTCTGTGGTCTGGTCTCAGGTCTGTGGTCTGTGGTCTGTGGTCTCAGGTCTGTGGTCTGTGGTCTGTGGTCTGTGGTCTGTGGTCTGTGGTCTCAGGTCTGTGGTCTCAGGTCTGTGGTCTCAGGTCTGTGGTCTGTGGTCTGTGGTCTCAGGTCTGTGGTCTCAGTCTGGTCTCAGGTCTGTGGTCTGGTCTCAGGTCTGTGGTCTGTCTGGTCTGTGGTCTGTGTCTGTGGTCTGTGGTCTGTGGTCTCAGTGGTCTGTGGTCTGTGGTCTGTGGTCTGTGGTCTCAGGTCTGTGGTCTGTGGTCTGTGGTCTGTGGTCTGTGGTCTGTGGTCTGTGTCTGGTCTGTCTGGTCTGTGGTCTCAGGTCTGTGGTCTCAGGTCTGTGGTCTCAGGTCTGTGGTCTGTGGTCTGTGGTCTGTGGTCTGTGGTCCTGGGGGGTGTAATTTCACGGCTGGGCTGTAAACGCTCTCGGAGTCGCTCCATTTCACTCTCTGCGTTTAATCCAATTACAGCGACTCTAATTAAGATCACGAATATTAACGAGTGTGTTAACGAGCTCCGCCCACCGCCTCGTTAGGCCGCTGTCTCTCTCCTCGCTCCCTCGCTCCCTCTCTCCTCGCTCCCTCGCTCCCTCTCTCCTCGCTCCCTCTCTTCCTCTCTTCTTTTCTCTCTGCGTCTGTCAGGTTTTTTTTCTGTCGTTTAATGTGATTCAATGAGAACCTGATTTACTTTATACAACGAACACACACACACACACACACACACACATACACACATACACACACACATACACACTATACACAACACACATACACACACACACACACACACACACACACACACACACACACACACACACACACACACACACACACACACACACACACACACACACACACACACACACACAACACACACACACACACACACACATACACAACACACACATACACACATACACACACACATACACACACATACACACACACACACACACACACACACACACACACACACACACACACACTACACACACACACACACACACACACACACATACACACTATACACAACACACATACACACTATACACAACACACATACACACTATACACAACACACATACACACACACTATATACACACACACACACACACAACACACACACACACACACACACTATACACACACATACACATAACACACACACACACACCGGTCCGGTCCAGGTTTTTGAACAGTTCTAAACCAAGTTTTAAACAGGTCCAGTCCAGGTCCAGTCCAGGTCCAGTCCAGGTCCAGTCCAGGTCATGTCCAGGTCCAGTCAAGGTCATGTCCAGGTCCAGTCCAGGTCCAGTCCAGGTCCAGTCCAGGTCCAGGTCCAGTCCAGGTGTTGTGTGGTCTTGTGGTGTTTGGTTCATTGTTGGAGTTTAGATTCTGATCTGACTCGTCCATCAGACGCACAAAGACTTTTTATTAACTCCAGACTCTGATGAGACCAGGTTTAGACCAGGTTTAGACCGGGTTTAGTCCAGGTTTAGCCCAGGTTTAGACCAGGTTTAGTCCGGGTTTAGACCGGTTTAGACCGGGTTTAGACCGGGTTTAGACCAGGTTTAGTCCAGGTTTAGACCGGGTTTAGACCGGGTTTAGTCCGGGTTTAGACCAGGTTTAGTCCGGGTTTAGACCGGGTTTAGACCGGGTTTAGACCAGGTTTAGACCGGGTTTAGACCAGGTTTAGACCAGGTTTAGTCCAGGTTTAGTCCAGGTATAGACCAGGTTTAGACCAGGTTTAGTCCTTTGTTTAGTCCAGGTTTAGTCCAGGTTTAGACCAGGTTTAGTCCAGGTTTAGACCAGGTTTAGACCAGGTTTAGTCCAGGTTTAGACCGGGTTTAGACCAGGTTTAGACCAGGTTTAGACCGGGTTTAGATCCAGGTTTAGACCAGGTTTAGTCCAGGTTTAGTCCAGGTATAGACCAGGTTTAGACCAGGTTTAGTCCTTGTTTAGTCCAGGTTTAGACCAGGTTTAGTCCAGGTTTAGACCGGGTTTAGTCCAGGTTTAGACCAGGTTTAGACCAGGTTTAGTCCAGGTTTAGACCGGGTTTAGACCAGGTTTAGACCAGGTTTAGACCGGGTTTAGACCAGGTTTAGACCAGGTTTAGACCAGGTTTAGTCCAGGTTTAGTCCTTGTTTTAGTCCTGGTTTTCTTGTTCACATATTTTGAGTCCATAAATCCTGACATATTGACCTGTGTGAGATTTAAATGACTGATCTTTGTCCAATCGTGGTGCTGCTTCTTTCGTTCTTGTCGTCGTGGTGATTAAAGTCCAGACTGAAGCGTCCGTCGTCTTTGTGTCCACGTCCTGATGATAAACGACTCTCGTCTCACACTGACACCTCCACAAAGCATCATGGGACTTCTGTCTCCGCGCTCCCGCTCCGGACCGCGGTTTGTTTGGGCTCTTTGTCCGGAGCAGACAGGGGCCGGACCTGGTCTGAGCGCGGACTAAAGCAGGTCTCAAAGTGGTAAAGGAGGTAAAGCAGGTCTCAAAGTGGTCTAAAGGAGGACTAAAGGAGGACTAAACAAGGACTAAAGGAGGACTAAACGAGGACTAAAGGAGGACTAAACGAGGACTAAAGGAGGACTAAAGGAGGACTAAACGAGGACTAAAGGAGGACTAAACGAGGACTAAACGAGGACTAAACGAGGACTAAACGAGAGATGGAGAGATAACGACAATTATAGAACTGAGATAAGAGTCTGAGGAGAAGAACAGGACTGAACCAGGTCTGGGGCAGGTCTGGGGCAGGTCTCGGGGCAGGTCTCGGGGCAGGTCCGGGGCAGGTCTGAATCAGGTCTGGGGCAGGTCTTGGGGCAGGTCTCTGGGCAGGTCTGGGGGTAGGTCCGGGGCAGGTCTGAATCAGGTCTGGGGCAGGTCTGGGGCAGGTCCGGGGCAGGTCCGGGGCAGGTCTGGGGCAGGTCCGGGGCAGGTCTGGGGCAGGTCTGGGGCAGGTCTGGGGCAGGTCTGGGGCAGGTCCGGGGCAGGTCCGGGGCAGGTTCTGGGGCAGGTCGGGGCAGGTCTGGGGCAGGTAGGTCCGGGGCAGGTCTGGGGCAGGTCTGGGGCAGGTCTGGGGCAGGTCTGGGCAGGTCTGGGGCAGGTCTGGGGCAGGTCTGGGGCAGGTCAGGTCTGGGGCAGGTCTGGGGCAGGTCTGGGGCGGGGGGCAGGTCCGGGGGCAGGTCCGGGGCAGGTCCGGGGCAGGTCTGGGGCAGGTCCGGGGGCAGGTCGGGGCAGGTTGGGGCAGGTGTGGGGCAGGTCAGGTCCCGGGGCAGGTGGGGCAGGTCAGGTTGGGTCCAGGTGGGGCAGGTGTTGGGGCAGGTGGTGGCAGTTTGTTTGTTGTTTATCATCAGACTCGTGTTCTTCTCACCGTCGTGTGTCAAACAGGAAGTTCTCCAGGAGGCTCTTGTGGCTCCTTCTGGCTCCAGTGAGTCACATTTGGCTCTTGTGGCTCCTTCTGGCTCCAGTGAGTCACATTTGGCTCTTGTGGCTCGTCTGTTCTGGTTTAAACTGAACTCTTCTGTGATGATGGAGAAAAACCTCGTCTGAACAGAAACTTGTGTCTTTGGAAATGTTCACAGTGAAACATGAGAATCAAACGATTGTGTCCAGACGCCACGTTTGAGTCTCTGCTTCTTTTCTCCACAGACACACAAACTAAACTTTAAATCACACGACTCATTTACATCAACTCATGTGAGTGTTCTCCCTGTGTCAGAGGGGTGTTCTCTCTGTGTCAGAGGGGTGTTCTCTCTGTGACAGAGGGGTGTTCTCTCTGTGTGTCAGAGGGGTGTTCTCTCTGTGTGACAGAGGGGTGTTCTCTGTGTCAGAGGGGTGTTCTCTCTGTGTACAGAGGGGTGTTCTCTCTGTGTGTCAGAGGGGTGTTCTCTCTGTGTGTGTCTGTGACAGAGGTGTTCTCTCTGTGTGTCAGAGGGGTGTTCTCTCTGTGTGACAGAGGGGTGTTCTCTCTGTGTCAGAGGGGTGTTCTCTCTGTGACAGAGGGGTGTTCTCTCTGTGACAGAGGGTGTTCTCTCTGTGTCAGAGGGGTGTGTTCAGAGGGGTCTCTCTGTGTCAGAGGGGTGTTCTCTCTGTGTCAGAGAGGGGTGTTCTCTCTGTGTGACAGAGGGGTGTTCTCTCTGTGTCAGAGGGGTGTTCTCTCAGAGGGGTGTGACAGAGGGGTGTTCTCTCTGTGTCAGAGGGGTGTTCTCTCTGTGTGACAGAGGGGTGTTCTCTCTGTGTCAGAGGGGTGTTCTCTCTGTGTGACAGAGGGGTGTTCTCTCTGTGACAGAGGGGTGTTCTCTCTGTTCTCTGTGTGTCAGAGGGGTGTTCTCTCTGTGTGACAGAGGGGTGTTCTCTCTGTGTCAGAGGGGTGTTCTCTCTGTGTCAGAGGGGTGTTCTCTCTGTGTCAGAGGGGTGTTCTCTCTGTGTGTCAGAGGGGTGTTCTCTCTGTGTCAGAGGGGTGTTCTCTCTCTGTGTCAGAGGGGTGTTCTCTCTGTGTCAAGAGGGTGTTCAGAGGGGTGTTCTCTCTGTGTGTCAGAGGGGGTGTTCTCTCTGTGTCAGAGGGGTGTTCTCTCTGTGTGTCAGAGGGGTGTTCTCTCTCTGTGTCAGAGGGGTGTTCTCTCTGTGACAGAGGGTGTTCTCTGTTGTTCTCTGTGTGTCAGAGGGGTGTTCTCTCTGTGTGACAGAGGGGTGTTCTCTCTGTGTCAGAGAGAGGGTGTTCTCTCTCTGTGTCAGAGGGGTGTTCTCTCTGTGACAGAGGGGTGTTCTCTCTCTGTGACAGAGGGGTGTTCTCTCTGTGTGACAGAGGGGTGTTTCTCTCTGTGTCAGAGGGGTGTTCTCTCTGTGTCAGAGGGGTGTTCAGAGGGGTGTTCTCTCTGTGACAGAGGGGTGTTCTCTCTGTGTGACAGAGGGGTGTTCTCTCTGTGTTGTGTCAGAGGGTGTTCTCTCTGTGACAGAGGGGTGTTCTCTCTGTGTGACAGAGGGGTGTTCTCTCTGTGTGACAGAGGGGTGTTCTCTCTGTGTCAGAGGGGTGTTCTCTCTGTGTCAGAGGGGTGTTCTCTCTGTGACTGTGACAGAGGGGTGTTCTCTCTGTGTCAGAGGGGTGTTCTCTCTGTGTCAGAGGGGTGTTCTCTCTGTGACAGAGGGGTGTTCTCTCTGTGTCAGAGGGTGTTCTCTCTGTGTGACAGAGGGGTGTTCTCTCTGTGACAGAGGGGTGTTCTCTCTGTGTGTCAGAGGGGTGTTCTCTCTGTGTGACAGAGGGGTGTTCTCTCTGTGTGTCAGAGGGGTGTTCTCTCTGTGTGACAGAGGGGTGTTCTCTCTGTGTCAGAGGGGTGTTCTCTCTGTGTCAGAGGGGTGTTCTCTCTGTGTCAGAGGGGTGTTCTCTCTGTTCTGTGTCAGAGGGGTGTTCTCTCTGTGACAGAGGGGTGTGTCTCTCTGTGTGTCAGAGGGTGTTCTCTCTGTGTGTCAGAGGGGTGTTCTCTCTGTGTCAGAGGGGTGTTCTCTCTGTGTGACAGAGGGTGTTCTCTCTGTGTGTCAGAGGGGTGTTCTCTCTGTGTCAGAGGGGTGTTCTCTCTGTGAGGGTGTGTGTCAGAGGGGTGTTCTCTCTGTGTCAGAGGGGTGTTTCTCTGTGTCAGAGGGGTGTTCTCTCTGTGTCAGAGGGGTGTTCTCTCTGTGTCAGAGGGGTGTTCTCTCTGTGACAGAGGGGTGTTCTCTCTGTGTGTCAGAGGGGTGTTCTCTCTGTGTGACAGAGGGGTGTTCTCTCTCTGTGTGTCAGAGGGTGTTCTCTCTGTGTCAGAGGGGTGTTCTCTCTCTGTGTCAGAGGGGTGTTCTCTCTGTGAGAGGGTGTGTGACAGAGGGGTGTTCTCTCTGTGTCAGAGGGGTGTTCTCTCTGTGTCAGAGGGGTGTTCTCTCTGTGTCAGAGGGGTGTTTCTCTCTCTGTGACAGAGGGGTGTTCTCTCTGTGTGTCAGAGGGGTGTTCTCTCTGTGACAGAGGGGTGTTCTCTCTCTGTGACAGAGGGGTGTTCTCTCTGTGTCAGAGGGGGGTTCTCTCTCTGTGACAGAGGGGTGTTCTCTCTGTGTCAGAGGGGTGTTCTCTCTGTGACAGAGGGTGTTCTCTCTGTGTCAGAGGGGTGTTCTCTCTGTGACAGAGGGGTGTTCTCTCTGTGTCAGAGGGGTGTTCTCTCTGTGTCAGAGGGGTGTTCTCTCTGTGTCAGAGGGGTGTTCTCTCTGTGTCAGAGGGGTGTTCTCTCTGTGACAGAGGGGTGTTCTCTCTGTGTCAGAGGGGTGTTCTCTCTGTGTGTCAGAGGGGTGTTCTCTCTGTGACAGAGGGGTGTTCTCTCTGTGACAGAGGGGTGTTCTCTCTGTGACAGAGGGGTGTTCTCTCTGTGTCAGAGGGGTGTTCTCTCTGTGTCAGAGGGGTGTTCTCTCTGTGTGTCAGAGGGGTGTTCTCTCTGTGTGACAGAGGGGTGTTCTCTCTGTGTGACAGAGGGGTGTTCTCTCTGTGACAGAGGGGTGTTCTCTCTCTGTGTGACAGAGGGGTGTTCTCTCTGTGACAGAGGGGTGTTCTCTCTGTGTCAGAGGGGTGTTCTCTCTGTGACAGAGGGGTGTTCTCTCTGTGTCAGAGGGGTGTTCTCTCTGTGTCAGAGGGGGTGTTCTCTCTGTGTGACAGAGGGGTGTTCTCTCTGTGTGACAGAGGGGTGTTCTCTCTGTGTCAGAGGGGTGTTCTCTCTGTGTCAGAGGGGTGTTCTGCTGATGTTCAGTCTGTTCTGTGTTTGTGTCGTGTTGTTGGTTCATGTGAATCTTTTCACACATTACACGTGTGCAGGTGGTATGTGAATGAGTTGGTGAACCCTGCACCACAACAACACCACTCACATACACACTAGTGTGAACGGGGCCGTAGTTTCAGGGATAATGAGCAGAGGTTGTGTTTGTGTTCAGACGTGTTTGGGTCCTGGAGTCACTGACACAAGTTTAGTTGTATTGTTATAATCAAGTGTCCTGGCGCCACCTGCTGGTCACTGCAGTCGCTCCTCGTGCTGCAGCAGTGACACAGGCTCAGTCTTTATCTCCGTCCATGTTTGTTCTGTTCAGTAAATCAAACCTGTGACGTGATGATGAGTGAAAATCATGTTTTTTTTACTTCATATTCTACGTCTTTGTACGACTGGACGAGAGTTTACACATTTATTTAATCATCAACTACGACAAACACTCACCGATTCATATCAACGACCGATATCACCGATTCATATCAACGACCGATATCACCGATTCATATCAACGACCGATATCACCGATATCACCTATTCATATCAACGACCGATATCACCGATTCATATCAACGACCGATATCACCGATTCATATCAACGACCGATATCAGTGATATTTATTATATCAGTTTAATCTTTCCTGCTCGTGTGTGTGAAGTGTGAACAGGTCCAACTCAGGTTTGGACTTTGGTTCAGATTGATTGATCCTGAGGTTCAGATTTATTGATCGTGAGGAGGTCTGGTTCAGATTTATTGATCGTGAGGAGGTCTGGTTCAGATTTATTGATCGTGAGGAGGTCTGGTTCAGATTTATTGATCGTGAGGAGGTCTGGTTCAGATTTATTGATCGTGAGGAGGTCTGGTTCAGATTTATGGCCGTGGGCTTTGAGGATCTGTTGAGTCGGAGTTACTTATGTGGAGCAGATTTCCCGCCTTTGGGAACGTGACCTTTTTTTTCTTCCATTTTTCACCCGGAACTCGACACCAAACGACTCATTTAAGAAAAAGATTACACCATCCCCCAGATTTAAGAACACGGCCTGGACTCGACTGGTCCTGCTCTGGTCCTGCTCTGGTCCTGCT